GAGAGAGAGAGAGAGAGAGAGAGAGAGAGAGAGAGAGAATGGAGCAACGGACATGGCCTCCTGCTTCAGATGGCTGTCAATTCCCTCGCCTCTTCTCTTCCATTCCCACCCACAAAGTCGCATCCCCACGCTCGTCAATAAGGCCCAAGAAAAGCTCTAAGGGCTCTGCAACTAGTTGCAATAACAAATTGCCCTTAAACCCTAACTTCTCTGCCCTCCCTTTTGATGTTTTGAGAAGGTTGGCGTCCTCCTTCACTGTTACTGATCTTTGGGCAGCGAGCAGAGTGTGCAGATCATGGAGGGAGGGACTGCAACCTTTGAGAGAGGCCATGGTTTTGGTTCGATGGGGAAAGAGATTTAAGCATGGAATGGGAGGGGTCAGGAGAAACCTTAACAAAGCCCTTGATTCCTTCCTCAAGGCTGCAGCTCATGGCTCGGCTGCTGCCATGGTTGATGCTGGCCTCATTTTCTGGGAAATGGTATTCAATATTCTTCTTGTTTCTTCTCCTTGTTATTCATGCTCATATAATTCATATTATTGCCTATTGTATGACATATTATTTCTTCTCCTTGTTATTCATACTTATAAAATTCATATTATTACCTATTGTATGACATTATCACTGTTCCACAGTAGCCAGATGCCATTTTTAATATTCCCAACTATATTTTAGTAGGAATAACATTTATCCTGATTTCATTGTTTTATTTGTTTGTGTTCATATGATTATGAGATTTGTAAGGAGAATTACTGATGGGGGATGGATATGTGTAGGGTAAGAAAGATGATGGGATTGCCTTGTATCGGAAGGCTGCGGCTCTCGGAGATCCTGCTGGTCAATGCAATCTAGGGCTTTCATATTTGCAAGGTACTATCTGACCCTCGAATTTAGGATTTCGCTTGTTGCTTTGGTACTTGTTGCAATGGATTTATTCTATTGGCCTAGTTATGCAGCTTGTTCCACTCATTGCAAATTTTTGTTTCGTTTTTTTTTTTTTCCTTTCTCCCCCTTATTACGGGATTGTTACAAAGATCGTAGTGCTACTCATTGGTTTAGTAGTGGTTCATTCTTTGTATTGACAGCTTTTCTCAAGTTTTTTATTCAATGGGTAAAGGGTTTCAATAGAATTAGATGTGATTGGGCCTATGTACGGACACTGGACGAAGCTGATGTTATTTCAATATAGAAAACTTGGGTTGTCAATGTTATTTACTTAGGAATTTGGTCCCAATTGGTTTGTCTCAGTAAATTCCATAACTAAGGTGTTTATTGTAAAAGTGGATATCCAGTTAAAAAACCTACTAAATTTGGAAAAAGCATAGGTATTTGTCAAGCACCATTGCTGAAGAATTTCATCCCTTGGTTATTTGGTGTTCATGGACCTCTAGCTGATTATGTATCTATGATTTAGGGATACTTGTGCATCCTTAATGTTTCAGTTTCGTAGTAAGTTGACACCGATACTCATACTAGATGCTTCAATACTTGTTTGTATAAAAGATGTAAGTATAAATAATAATATCATGCTTTCTAAAAACATGATATTCCATGAATCTTGAATCTACGTTATCTGCTTATGCTAGGGCGTTCCTTGTAAGTGACACACTGTATCGGAGTGATAAAAGATATGAGGACTTATGGCCTCTCTGAGGGTCGTACCCTTAATAGAGTAGAATGGTGGATTGGGATTCATGTAGCCAACTTCAAATAGTTGGGAAAAAGCTCTGATGATGATGATAAAAACACAATACCAGTAAATATAATGTCACACATTAGGATGTGGTGTATGTGAATATTTTTATGTATTATACAAACTGTAATAGAGATTCATAGATGTGCTAGACATGATACTCATAACCATATTCGTATCCTTGTATTGAGAAATGGCAATTCATATCCTTGTTCTTTGTATACATGTCTGTATTGGGACATCACAGTGAGTTGTGACATTATTGACATCAAGAAGGGCTGGAAGTTCTATTGATGTTGTTCTATTTGATAGAAGGTGAATCACAAAATGGAAGAATATATATTGGAAAAAGGTTCAAATTCTACTATGATTTGTCTGCAATAAACCATTTGTTGGAAATGCAATGTTGGTGAAGCCCTTGGCATCAACTTAAGTGTGCTTTTTTTTTGTGTGGTAACTGTGTATTGTATTTCTTTGCATCTTGTGTGAAATCTCACAAAAAGAATGTATGGTACCTGTTCAGTACCAGTAAAGGCCTTACATAAAATAGTTCATATTCCAGGATGTACAGAAGAATTACAAAATTGGAGTTATGAAAATTCACAATGGTTAACCACTAGGAATTGCTTTTTCACTTCGCTCGACAACACATGCGTGCTCATTTGATTCCCTCCATAAGTGGTAAAAAGATGCTGTGATTTTTCTTGCTCCAAAATTTCAAAGAGAAGTCCAGCTGGCCACAGCTGTTATGTATGTTATTGTGCATGATATCATATAGCATACAATTGGCCCTCAACAGTAACATTTTGCCAGATAAATGAGGTCTGATTTTGTTAATAACTTTACATACAATTGGTCCTCTAGAGTAAGATTTTGTCAGATAAATGAGGTTTGATTTGTTAATGCCCACAGGCTTACTTAGAAAGGCAGTTTGGCTTTAGGAATCTTTTTGGTAGTTTGATATATATATATATATATATACTCGCTGAGTACATAATATTTTTGTAGGTCTACTTTTAGCCCTAATGACTCATTTTCTCGACCTTATACCGTCATTCATGTTTGCAGTGGATCCTCCTAATCCTGAAGAGGCTGTAAGATGGTTCTACAAAGCTGCTTTTGCAGGGCATGTGGGAGCTAAGTACAGCCTTGCACTTTGTCTGCAGCAAGGTCGCGGTGTGGCGTGTAATCGTGTGGAAGCTGTATGTATGCAAACTGCTTCATCAATGGTCCACTATTTTAAAATTGATTTTCGTAAACATTATTTACATGGGAGCTTTAACTTTTATGGTCTTTTTAGTTATTTTTTTACAGCATTTAAGGTTAAAATGCTATTTGGTTGGTCTCCCATCATGTGATGTGGAAAACTTCTGTTCAGTTGTTTTTCAGTTTTTTGTTTTATTCCTGTATGTATATCTTGGGATATTCAACATTACCGTAGTGCTCTTTGAAAATTGATTCATGATATTGTTACCAGAATCTATATAAACATATGCATCATATATTGTATTCATAGGATGCTGCTGCAGTTTATGCGTATTATTTTGGGATGGTGATCTACCTGAATGTGATAGTTGTGGAATTTTAGGAAGGGAAGTACTCAAGACCAGTATTTTTAAAATTGTTTCCCTTCAGCTTTGGACCCCAAGCAAACTGAAGTATGAGTTTAAACTTTCATATCAAACTGAAGCATGAGTTTAAACTTAGTCAGCAATGTTTCGTGTGAAACATGATTTTTTAAAAACAAAAACTCGTTTTTTAATAGAATGAAATATTGCCTTGTAAAATTGTTATCGAAGAAACTTTTTGCAAAAATTTCTAAAATTGTATTAAAGTTCTTTCATTGTATCTCTCTTACTTTCTCTCAAAAAAAAAAAATGTCTCTCTCTTGATTCATTGGACCAAGCTCCTTCATCCATCTCTCTCTCTCTCTCCAAATTTTATTCTGCTCTTACATTTGGTGTTACAAAGCCTATTCATAATTGCTATTCATAAATTTTAGTTTGTGGAATGAGATTTACTGGTAAAAAATGACCAAGTTATAATGACTATCTAGTGTTCGATGGCATACATTATGAACTGAAAATATTCTTGTTTCTCAAAGTTTTGTTGGCACTAGACAATTTTTGGTCCATTTTTTCATTACCTTTGTTTGGACCAAAACTAGGTTAATCCTGATTTCGTTGCGCACAGATTTATTTCCATTAGATGATTTGCTAACTATGGTTTAGATCCTTGTTTTCTGCTTTTAACCACTTGTGGTTTTTTATTATTTTGTTTGGTAATTTCAGTTTTCCCTTCAAGTTTTGTTGAGTTTCACATGTCCTCAATCAAAATCCCATTATTTTTGGGTTCAAATTTTGAATATTTTGGGCTTAAATTCTAGATTTCCTGAAGATTTCCGTACAAAATAGGGACTGTCTTATCCTCCCCTTCGTAAGTAAATTCATATTAGTCCTTCCGAATTCAGTGAGTGGATCCATGTAAATCTTTATGAGATCATTTTAATAAAGTAAAATTTGTATGAATTTTACTCTGCTAATGGTAATGGACCCAATAAAATATAAAATGAGGATAGAAATGCAGTAACTTTGTCAAAAAGTTTTTATTTTTATTTTGTATTAATATTTTTAGCATTTTTTTTGACATTTTTCATATCTTAATTAATTTTTGAAGTACTTCTTTTAAAATATTTAATTAGAAAAAATCGTAAATTTTCCCCAAATCGGTTGAGGTGTTGTTGTACTCTTTTCTTCCTTGGCTAAATCAAAGCTGCTCTGAAGCGGTTTGTTGGATATTACCACTTCTGGCTATTGGTTTGCCAAGGCTAGCACTGAGGGGGGAAAGTAATTATTCTCTAGGTTGATTTCCTAATAGAGGCAAGTTTGCACCTCAATCAGCTTAAGAGGTTTCCTCTATTTCTACAGTTATTTTTGTTAGCATAGCTAGGAATATGCTACAATTTTGAAATTCTAATATTCATCCTTGGGCGTGTTTGGGATATGATTGATAAAGAATCCAAATCGGATTTCAACTTGATAAACTTGGATAAGTGGGTGGTTAATTTGCGAGTTATCCCCATGATCTAATTGTCGTGGCACTTCTGCCCTTAAGCACTAAAGTACATGGTTCAATTGCAAATAACTCCAATAGTTATGATCATAGTTAAGGGAACCATGTGGGTAGGGAGACGATCCCACCTCGGAACCTCAATCCCATGGTTCCTGTAAGGGATCTTGTAGGGACTCCAGTTTTTCGATTTTGGGACCTTGCACCCAAAAAAGGAGACCGCATTCCATCCAACCGTAGAATCCAGTTCCATTTTGAAATAGATCCATGCTCCCATCATCCATGGTCTACTTAAAATCTCGGGTTCCATGTTTGTGGGAACTACTTCATTAACGAATGATACCATATTAGCGATTGCCATTGTCCTAAGTTCCCATTATTTAGGAATCATATGTTCCATGATTGTAGAATCCAAACCCTTGTTTCATATAGCACAAAGTTCCATTATTTTAGATTCTTAATTTGAACATTGAGGGCATAGTCTATACCCATTGTTTTCCCTCTTAGTTGTGAAAATATGTATTTCATTTAAAATCTCATATTTATGATGTCCTATTGTTTTAGATCCTTAAATCATAAATATCCTATTGTTTTAGATTCTTAAATCATAAATGTCTTTTTATTTTAGATTCTTAAATAACAATGATGAGTTCATAGATATTCTTTGATGTTTTCTTCTATTTTGAGTAAGCCACCCGTCTTAGTTGTAAGAATATATATTTCATCTTCAGTAGCTTTCATTTCAAGCTATAAATTTACTATAAGCTTCTTGATTTACATGCGAGAGAGAGAGACAGAGAGAGAGAGAGGTTTATCATATCCTCTTGTCCTTTTGGAGAGCCAGCCTTTGAGAAACAATTGAAGCAGATGAGCCTACATTCTAAGAAGTTGACCCTTGAGTGGTAGGATTCTGGGTTGTCTAGGACTGAGAGGAAATGGTACTTGCCAAACTTGTGTCATGGTCTGGAGATGTAGTGGGATGTATAGGCCTTGGTAATGGAGCACTCTGACGAGCCTCACCGTGTAAATTTATAGCTTTAAATAAAGCTATTGAAGATGAAATATATATACTCCAACGAAGAGGGATGACTTACTTGAAATAGAAGAAAACATCAAAGAATCTCTATGAATCATCATTGTGATTTAAGAATCTAAAACAATAGGACATTTATGATTTAAGAAACTGAAACAATAGGAAATCATAAATATAAGATTTTAAATGAAACATATATTCTTACAACTAAGAGGGATGGTTGACACTTGTGAAATTGAAGAAAACATCAAAGAATCTCTATGGATCCTACTAAAATTTAAGAATCTAAAATAATAAAACTTCATAAAACAATGGTCTAGACTATGCCTTTAAAGTTCAAACTAAGAATCTAAAATAATGGAACTTCGCGCTATGCAAAACAAGGGTTTGGATTCTACCATCATGGAACTTATGATTCCTAAATAATGACAATCACTAACCTGGTATCATTTGTTATGAACATAGTTCCCACAAACATGGAACCCAAGATTTTATTGTACAAAAACCTTTGACCATTGTTTCAAAATGGATCTGGATTCCACTGGTGGATGGAATGCAGCCCCCTTTTATTGAGAGCGAGGTCCTAAAATCGAAAAACCGGGGTACCTACAAAGATCCCTGACAGGAACCGTGGGATCGAGGTTCTAAGGTGGGATCGTCACCTTACCCATACGGTTTTCTTATCTATGGACTATAAAGCTAAAGGCTTCATTCACAAAATATTGAGGATATTAATTCATTGTTTTCTCTCTTTTCTTTTGGGAAGGTTACTGATGGGACTAAAACTCTGGGAATTAACCACTCTGCACTTGGCCATATGGGATGAAGCTTTGGGACAAAAACATTTGTGTAAATTTATTCTTTCATATGAGTATGGGAATGAGAATGTGAGACAGGTATAATGTGCTCTTATGCGTTCATCAGTGTTCTACAAGACAAACTCTCGAAAGAAGCTTTTGTTTGTCGTTCAAGTTACTTGAACATGTATGCAGTTCAATTGAGCTTTATCTTTGAAAGTAATCTTATGTGACTTTGATCTTTCATTGTATGCAAGACAAATGAGAATAGCGGTTGACATATTACCATTGCTCATTATATTTTTCATGTAGTCCAATACCTAACTGTGCTGGATAAAGATGATTGAAGTCAGATTGGTGAGGCTAGCTAGATTTGTCGAAACCATCCTCAAAATTAAAGGAAAGAAGACATTAAAAGGACTCACACCCACCACACTCACTGAGGATCAATTTCTCTACCCCCAGAAAAGATATCTTGAAGCTTAGATGAATAATTCAGGACTTTATTTGAATTGGTATTAGATTTAAAGATACTCAACTGACTTCCATAGCTCTTGTGGAAAATAAGTTTGAAATGCAAACAGTCTCCAGGACACTAGCTTCTTCCTCCCTCTCTCATGCTCTTTAGTTTTCACGTTCGTCCTTCTTGCCTTTTTATGACTGGGTGGACCCCCGCAATGGTGATGTTGGTGCTTCCTAGTTTTAATGGGTTGGACAGCAAACTACTATTTCCATGAGTTTGAGGCATTTGGGTTCATTTCGCAACTAACTATTTCATTTGCTTTTTTCACTCATGCCTTGTGTAAAAATGAAAAATGATCAACTTTCTGTTTCGTTTTGACGCATATAGGGTTATTTGTGTTCTTGCTCATGGTAGGTTTAATTTCCCTTTGGATCAGCTTTCCCCTGGTTTATTTACTTGTAATGTGTTAATGAAGAACTTGAGTCAGGACAATTGGTCATTCAATGCTTGTTTATGTTTGTACTTTCGATTACCAAGTATATGTTTGAAGCTGAAACCTTGGAGTTTAGACGAAGGGCTCTGTTCCAATAAGCTACCTAGCATATCATTTGGTATACTAAATTTTGTAGTGTGACTTTGCATGTATTAGGTTGAGATCTCTTCTGTTTTAAACCACATACCTATATCTTAGCAACTTTGGTTGTGGTTTCTCTCCTCTAGTAAAGGCAAGATCATGAACAGGATTGTTTTCTACAGGCTAGGTGGTACCTGAGAGCTGCGGAAGGTGGAAATGCCCGTGCCATGTATAATACAGCTTTATGTTACTTGTCTGGAGAAGGAATATCGAGGAACTATCAACTTGCAAGAAAGTGGATGAAACGTGCAGCTGATTTTGGTCATCGTAAAGCTCAATACGAGCATGGACTCTCTCTATTCTCTGTATGTACTCATCTTGGTAAAATAATTTTTCTTAGGTTTGGTTTGGTAAATAATATATTTGTTTGGAATGACAGTTCTTTTATTACATTTCCTAGTCAATTGTTTCTAAATTGATTTCCCTATGCAGTTGCATCCTTGTTGGGTTCCATTCTTGGAGAAAGAAAAGACTAGTTCTAGATTTTTCCCAGATTTTAAGGTGTCTCATTGCCTCAAATTTTACCACTAAAAAACTTTACCAATGAGAAACTAACTAATACAAAGGCATGATGTATTCACATATTTCAATTTCTTCATTCTTCACTTCAGAGTTGAATAAATTATGTATCAGAAACAGCATATCCTTGTTCTGTAATGGTCAGAAGAAATCAGTGAATGGTGAATGGGATTCCATGTGGATTGTAGAAATTGTTGAACATGATACTATGGTTATTGGATTTATGAGCATCTGCTGCTCAAATCATGAAGTATTTTTCAAATTAATATTCACACCCAACACTGTTTCATCCTTCAGTCAGTCAGGATCATAACATGGGATTTTAGATATGATTTCATAAGGTATGCTGATGCAATATTTGATGCTTCCAAGTTCCGATGATGCAGTTAATGTCCTGGTTATCATTGCTCAGGAAACTTTCAATTGATCTATCCATTTCAGTGTACAGGGAAGGGGATCAAAAGGGTCTCTCCGATATCCTTTGGAAAACATGCTTGATAGGAACAACTTGGTAATCTTCTCTGTATTGGGGACTGAATGTGCATCGCGAATCCCTAAATTTCAATTGCGTGGGTTGATTGCCTTCATATAATTTAGAGGAATGTGCTAGAAAATGGATGAGCAATGATTGAGGTGAAATATCATGCTTTGCATTGACTCCCAAGGGATTTCAAGCCACTTGAAAATAACTATGTGGTGGCCACCCTGACCAATTTTAGCCTGTAGAGTATGTATAATGACTTCAAAATGTTTGAATGGATTTTTTGATTTGTGTTTTATTAAGATGTTCGTCTGGACAAGGATTGAATATAATGATCAGAAGTCGATATATTCAGAAACGGAAGCCAAGAGAAGGGGATCAAATATGTAGGATATGATCAACAATGTGCTGTTCATCTATGCTTCAATTTATAACCTTATAAAAAAATGTTTATAAGGAGTCTAAGATAAAAATCATCAAAATTGAAGATAAAATCAATAAAAAATCATCAAAATTGTTTCAATTCATAACCAATAAAAAAATGTTAATAAGGAAACTAAGATAAAAATCATCAAAATTGATTTGTGTTTTATTAAGATGTTCGTCTGGACAAGGATTGAATATAATGATCAGAAGTCGATATATTCAGAAACGGAAGCCAAGAGAAGGGGATAAAAAATGTAGGATATGATCAACAATGTGCTGTTCATCTATGCTTCAATTTATAACCAATAAAAAAATGTTTGTAAGGAGTCTAAGGTAAAAATCATCAAAATTGAAACATGTAAAAAGCCATAATGAACTATGTTTGTATTCAAAGAGGATAATTATTTCCATCATCATTTGATCTGGACATATTAGAACCAAATCCCTGATGTTGAAGTCCTTGAAGCTGAATCAAGCAAAGGACATTCATGATACTTTGTGGAGAAGCCATGTTTGCTAATTCCTGTCTGGATTCTTGCCAGGTGGACTCTGGCTCTGCAAGGTATGTGGGTTGAACGATTGTATTTCACCTTAGTAAATTTCAGGAATGGAGTTTCGTATACATAAGGAGTGATGCAGGGGTTTGATGTCAATGAGCTGGGAAATTAGAGGCTTGTATCCCCTGACCGGAAGCTTGTTATTATTATTATTTTTTGATGAATTGTTACTTGCGGATATCATGTTGCACAGATTATTTATTTTTCTTAAAGAAAAAAATTACTTTATTTTCTAGAATGAGGAATTGAATCTAGTCTTAGGTGGTTAGGCTGACAGGTTGCCATAACATGGAGTCTAGGGTTCCATTCGAACAGAGGTCCGAAGTTAACATTAAAAAAAAATTCTTTTCTAGAAAACCAACCAAATTAATTGATTAAGTACAACAATTATGATAGAGTTTATTGCTATGCGTGCTGGTGTTTGTATTGGCTGATGAATGTCATAACAAGATAAAGTAAAAATTTTATTTCATCACTGTTGTCTATGGTTAGTCTTGTTTTGGCTATTCATAAGGGAGCATTAGCACGCATATGTGTGTGTTTGATATTTTAATTGATTTGTTTTTTGCTATATATATTGAAATGAATTCAAAGCATCAAGCATGATTATTGAATGCAATGTGGACGCTTGAAGTCAGTTCGAGAATGTTGTGGGACAACCGCATCGGTGATGCCCATTATAACCCTTTGAATATACGTGACCAGGCTCATAAAGTAATGAGGTATATGATATGCAAGTTCCTACAAGGTTTTGTGGAGAGTTTCTCTTGGATACCGTTTCTATCCACAATTGACTGCTTTTCAAAGCAATGGGTCGCAGTGATGCCGACTGCTTGTATGAACATTTATTATAATACTAAGAGGGATCAATTAGTCTGTATTTTCAAATTCATTTAGTTTTTCCTCTTTTCTGGATCTCTCATGGTTTGCATGCTGCTCATAATACTGTAGTTGTGGTTTGAATGAATACTCTCCCAAAGAGAAGGGGAAAATATTGATTTAATGGTCAAATGATCTTACAAACTCATTAGTGTGATTAAATTGTCGCATTTAATATTAGGATGGTTACTTTGTAAGTTTTAATTTTGCTTACATGCCACCTTAAAATGTTTAAAAAATTGCCCTTGTTTTGGATAGGGAATCCTAAACAAGTAGGTGCATTTCAGTCATGTGGCCCATTTAGTGGCCTGAGCCAAATGGCGATAATATCCCTCGTTCAGGGTTAGCAACACGGAATGAGGGTCTACAATTAAAAAAGTAAGTTCCTTGTTGCTAAGCCTGAACAACTAGACTATTATCATGCTTCTTTTTGTAATTTTTATTTCGATGAAGTTCAATCTAATGTCCTGATTGTCTTGTAGGAAGGGGAGAAAACCATGGCACTCGTGTATCTTGAACTTGCCTCTCGAGCTGGGGAGACTGCTGCTGCTCATATCAAGGATGTTCTCGTCCAACAGCTTTCTCCATCAATGAGAGCTTGTGCCATGTCCTCTGCTGATAACTGGCATGCTTTGCGTGCTCCACGTTAATAGTTCAAGGTAGGTGGTTTTCATATTTTTGCATCACATGTTGAGATGATTACTTGTTACGTTACCTTGTTTGGTCTTTAAATAGTGCCATGTGCCTTATTTTTGTATTTCAGATGTGAATAGTGCCATGTGCCTTATTTTTAAATAGTGCCATGTGCCTTATTTTTGTATTTAAATAGTGCCATGTGCCTTATTCTTTATGCAGCTCTTAATCCATACGAACGGTGGAACTATTGTACATTATTCAACGGTTCATCATGCCTGTTGCATTGGCGTTCATGTCTGGTGTTGGCATGGTGCGTCTAATTGTCAAGAAGGGGGTTATGTCGTGGCTCTCCTCAATATCTTACGTCATTATACCATACAGAAATGTATAGCTCAAGAGAATTCATGGTGGTGCTAACGTCGATCTCTTTTTGGTCTTTTTTGCTGTGTACTTCAGAAGTCAAAGCAAAGGATGTGTACGGTATTCTGGCTTTTTGCACAACTTATTGTATAATAGTTTTATGTTTACACAGCCCCGTTTTGGTGTGTGCTGCCCTTGAAAAGTTTGAGTGAACATGCATTTCCACTTGCGAAAGGTTTCTATACTTCTACACCATAGAAGATCCATGCTTTCTTTAGCATATAGCCGTTCAATTTTGATCAAGTGAGTCATTCACCATTTAATCTTAAATCTGATATTTTATAGTATTTTGTTTTTAATTTTTTTAGTACAATGTATGAATATGAAATTTGGTACTGTGTCATCTTCTTATTGGGGCACACTTATAAAAAAATATTAAAAATAATTTTTTGATAAAATATAATGACTAAAATACCTCTTAAATCTTTTAGGGTTATTTTGATCATTTTATTTAATTGAGAATATTTTTTATGAGTACGAGTTTGATAGAGGATTGGTCGCTCAATATTTGGTGTCAAAATATTTTATAAAAAAAAATTAAAAATAAAATAATGTAGAGACATGACATTGTGATTAGGGCAATCTTAACCCTCCATTTAAATGGACCGTTGGATAAAGGGAGCTATATAAGTTTTATATTATAGGGGAAGCATAAAGAGCTTGCCCGTTGCAATTATGTGTTTTGGGTTTTATCTGAAGAGTCTCGAGCCCTTCAGGAACTTGTGCATATTCTACAACATTTATTTGATGAATGGAACTGTGGCATCTGGCTCTAGTAACTGATTGGGGCTTCCTTCAAGGCCTCTCCACGAGGATTAGTTGCATGCAAATAAAACATCCAGAGACTTCCTAAACAAGCTCTTGGGATGTGCTAGTTGGGAAGATGATCTTTGTCTCTATTTTCAAAGAATAGATTTTACTGACAAAAATATTATTAGGAGGTATAAAGATGAAAGTCTAGTCAATCAAGAGCCCTTCGAACAAAGGCCCTACCACCAAAGAATTATTGGTATTATTCCTCTCAAAAGATACAATGTTGTATTCAATGGAAAGGGCAAGCTTTCTATGCTTTTTCTATAGTATAGAAGTTTTATCTTCCTCTTTTTCTAACCGTCCATTCTGAATAGAGGGTTAAGATTGTCCCAATTACAAATATATAAAGTTAGTTACATAAAGACCACCACAAAATCATTGTTCTTGAGATATCAGAGTATCCATTGTTTTTGAGATGACAGATACATCTATGCTTGTTACAGTTAAAGTCAGATGTTCATACGGATGCCTAAGTCAGACAGGCAGAACATATCTATTTACTCCCGAAGTAGAAGTTACGTCGATTAGGTTAAGCTAATCCTGTAACTTGGAACTTCTACCCTAATTCAGGAGAAATGACAAGGATAGATAGAGGTTCTATTTCATAATGTCATCACTCATGCACACAAGCCCCAGTACGCTTTGGGCTTTTCGATAGGCTGAGGTTTAGCAAGACACGACCCTCTCCTTACTCCTTCAAGCAAGATGACGTTATACTACAATTGGAGGGCTCAATGCATAGTGCCTATAACAATTTGGGGGGCGCGACCCACCCTGTTATTCACAGTCACTCCTCGACTTCACTCCTATCATAGGAGTCGAGGTACAATATACTCAACTACCAATGGGAGACCCATTGCGTAGTGATCATATCACAAATATCGGTTTTCAGTATAGCAGAATCACAAATCCAACTACCAATAGAGGACCCATTACTTAGCGGCTATAGTGCACATAATAGTCTCACATATAACAGAATTACAATATCCACTACCAATGAAGACCCATTGCATAGCGATCATGACACATATAACAGAATCACAGTATCCACTACCAATGGAGGACTGATTACCTAGCGGTTATGACACATAACAAAAAGTGTTCAATATGTGATTTCAAATATACTCATAGATCTTTCCAATGGTAGTGATTTAGAAGAAAACAGACTCCATTTGGTTAGTAAAAAATTAGCGATAACAGAGACATCAATTCTAAAATTTTACTAAATCTGCCAACAGTGACCTACTTGCACATTCTGAAGCATAACTCTTTATGCATAAAGGATTTGAGCAAGATTTAAACATGAACATTTTAGTAGACACATATATCTTTCACATGGCAGTGATTTAAGGTCATTTGGACCTCATTTGATAAGTCAAAAGTGGATTACAAAAACATAGAACCTTCTTGAAAAATTACAATACAGTTGTAGCATTATCCAAAATGACAACCAATTAATCCCAAATTATGCTACATCTTAACGTAAAACCTTTTTATTGACCATTAGATACATATAAGCCTTTAATCACAAGTTTTCCATGGAAAGCAAGGAAGATTTGATATTCATTTTGAGCATACAAAGGTAAGCTAAAGTGCTGAAAATCATGATATAACAGTATATACATAAATCCACTATTCATGCATCTACTCATGCTCATTCTTATACTTAATTCATGTTAAATCTATGCTTAAGGACCTACAACATAGTTGACCCACTTCCTTATGTGTGCAATGGTGTTCCCAAATTTCCTCCCACAACTCACTCCTCAAGCTCCACAATTTGGGCTCTAACAAAGATTAGAAAAGGGGGCTGCAAATGCTAAGTGCTTTGGCTTGTAAGAGTGAGAACATGGCGTGAGGGAAAGAGATAAAGGCTTATGTACTCCAAAAGTGTGAGGTTACAGCTTGGGGTTGCCATATGGTAGTTTAGTGGCATGCAGTTTGAAAGGTGGCAGTTGTGGTAGCATGTAGTAGGCAAGTTGCATCCATGAGTCATGCACAGGCTCGGCGGTGTAGCTTACTTTCTCTTCTTCTTCTCTCTCACAGTCGTGCGCACTTTCTCTTCTTCTCTCTCTTCACCGCCGTATGTACTTTCTCTTGTTCTCTCTCTTCACCGTTGTGCGTACTTTCTCTTCTTCTTCTCTCTTCACCGCCGTGCATACTTTCTCTTCTTCTCTCTCTTCACCGTCGTACGCACTTTCTCTTCTTCTTCTCTCTTCACCGCCGTGCGCACTTTCTCTTTTTCTCTCATGTCACCGTCGTGCGCGCTTTTTCTTCTTCTCCCTTCACCGTCGTGTGCACTCTCTTTTTCTTCAATCTTCACGGTCGTGCGCACTCTCTTCTTCTTCTCTCTCACTGCCGTGCGCACTTTCTCTTGCCAGGAAAGTCTGGGTCGTTACATCATCTCCCCCTTAACTATGATTTTATTCTCAAAATCGTGTTTTAGTTAGTCAAATAACTGAGGGTACTTATCCCGGATTTCATCTTCTCGTTCCCATGTCGATTCTTCTTTTGAGTGATATTGCAATAACACACAGACCAGCAGAATTTCTTTATTGTGTAATACATGCACTCTCCTGTCAAGTATTTCAATCGGTCGTCCAATATAAGTCAAGTCTTCTCTGATTGGAATTGGTTTACAACTCAGAACATGGGATGGGTCCGGTTGATATTTCCTTAACAGTGATACATGGAATACGTCATGAATATTCGCCAACTCATATGGTAGAGCATGTCGATAAGCCATATTCCCAACTCTTTCTAGAATTTCAAAAGGTCCAATAAATCGTGTGTTCAATTTTCCTTTCTTACAAAATCTCATAATACATTTAGTTGGCGATACTTTCAAGAAGCTCGATCACCCACCTCAAACTCGAGGTTTCTCCTTCGATTATCAGCGTAACGCTTCTGCCGACTCTGAGCAGTCTTGAGTCTCTCCCGAATCAAAATTTTTTTTTCTGAGGTTGCTTGAACAATTTCGGCCCTAACAGCCTCCTTTCACTGAGTTCATCCCAACATATAGGTGATCTGCACTTCCTCCCATACAAGGCTCTCAAAATGCATCATTTGAATACTGACTTAGAAGTTGTTATTATAAGCAAATTCTATCAGAGGCAAATGGTCATCGCAGCTTCCCTTGAAATCAATAACACAAGCCCTTAACATATCATCTAGGGTTTGAATAGTCCTTTCTGACTGCCCATCAGTCTCGGGGTGGAAAGCAGTGTTAAAAATGAGTCGTGTCCCCAAAGTTGATTGCAGACTATTCCAAAATCTTGAAGCAAATCTAATGTCCCTGTTGGACACGATGCTGACAGGTATTCCATGCAACCTTACAATTTCTTTAATGTATAACTGGCCCAATTTATTCAAAATATAAGTTGTGCGGACCGATAAGAAGTGAGCAGCTTTAGTCAGTCGGTCCACAATGACCCAAATACTATTATGCCTAGCACCTGTTCTAGGCAAGCCAGAGAAAACATCCATAGTGATGTGTTCCCATTTCCATTATGGCACAGGCAAGGGTTGCAACAGTCCAGCGAGTTTCTGATGTTCATCTTTCACTTGCTGACATGTCAAGCACTTAAAGACAAATTGTACTACTTCCTTTTCCATATCATTCCACCAGAAAGTCTTCTTCAGGTCCTGGTACATCTTAGTACTCCCTCGGTGTATAGTATAACGAGAGTTGTGTGCTTCCTCCCAAATAGCCCGTTTCACACTCTTATCCTTCGGAACACATACCCGATCTTTAAATCTTAACAGATCATCACTGCTCACAGAGAAATCATCCTTTATTCCCAGCTTTATTTTTTCTAGGATTTTCATGAGTTGGGGATCTTCCTTTTGTGCCTCGAATCTGTTGAAAGAGCTGGGGCTCCATCTTCATACAAACAGTCATTCCTACCCCATCACTAAGGGGTAGGGTTGGGTGCCACTCCACTACATCTTCTATTAGTTTCATCTCTCAAGCCATCAGATATGTCATTGATACCATGGGCTTCCGGCTCAAAATATCTACTACTACATTGGTCTTGCCCGGTTGGTAATTGATGGTACAATCATAATCATTAAATAAGTCCATCCATCGTCTTTGCCTCATGTTTAACTCCTTTTGAGAAAATAGATACTCGAGGCTCTTATGATCTGTAAATATTTTAAATTGAGCCCCAAAGAGGTAATGTCTACAGATTTTCAAAGTAAACACTACAGTCGCAAGTTCCAAGTCATGATTTGGGTAATTTTGCTCGTACAACTTTAACTGTCTAGAGGCATACTATGACTTTCCCTCGTTGAATCAGTACATATCCAAGCCCTTTATGAGAGGCGTTAGTATAAACCACAAAATCCTCGTTCCCTTCAAGTAAGGTCAGTATTAGGGCTATGATTAGTCTCTTTTTCTGTTCTTAAAAACTTATTTCACAATCATTTGTCCAAACAAATTTCACTTCTTTCTGGGTTAGGCGAGTCAAGGGGAGAGCTATCTTTAAGAACCCTTCTACGATGCGCCTATAATATCCTACCAGTCCCAGAAAACTATGGACCTCAGTTACATTTGTCGGTCTTCCCTACTGAAGTACAACTTCAATTTTACAAGAGTCGACTGCGACCCCATCCTTAGATACAATATGCCCAAGGAAGGCCACGCTCAGAAGCCAAAATTCACTATTCCCCAATTTAGCGTACAACTTTTCTATCTTTAGAGTCTGAATGACCATACTTATTTGCTGCCCATGCTCTTCTAGGTTCATTGAATGTACCAGAATATCATCTATAAAAACTAGCTCAAAATCATTCAAAAGGTCTAAAAAGGCTATTCATCAAATCCATAAAGACAACTGGAGCATTGGTCAACCCGAACGGCAATACCAAGAATTCATAATGTCCATACTGGGTCCTGAATGCAGTCTTAGGGACATCTTCTTCCTTGAGCCGCAATTGATGATAGCCTGACCGAACGTCAATCTTAGAAAACACTTGGGCCCATTGAAGTTGGTCATAAAGGTAATCAATTCTAGGCAAGGGATACTTATTCTTTATAGTGACCTGGTTCAACTGTCTATAGTCTATACAAAGCCTTAAAGACCCATCTTTCTTTTTCACAAGTAGGACATGTGCACCCCAAGGTGATACACTGGGTCGAATGAGCCCCTTTTCCAACAACTATTGCAATTGTATTTAGTTCTTTTAATTCGGCTAAGACCATCCTATTAGGGGTTTTAGAGATGGGAACGGTGCCAAGAATCACATCTATCTCAAATTCTACCTCTCTAACTTAGGGCAAAGAGGTCAATTCCTCAGGAAAAACTTCGGGATATTCCCTCACCATTGGTATTGCTTCTAACTTGGACTGGACATCCTGATTCTCTACTACAAAGGCCAAATACCCAACACATCTTTTGGCCAACAGGAGAGAAGCCCGAAGGGCCGAAATAAGGCGCAGAAGGGAACCATCCTTAATGCCCATAAAGTTCAACTCAGGCTGATTTGGGCGTCTAAAGGTTATAGTTTTTTCATAGCAATTTACTGTAGCATAATGTGTCTAATTTATGCCTAAAATAACATCAAAATCTTGAATGCCTAACAGTATCAAGTCTATAGGTAAGACACATTCTTCAAGCAAGACTCCACAATGTTTATAAACGATATCAGTTTCTAAAGATTCCCCCATAGGTGTGCATGCTGCCAAAGTCTAGCCAAGAAGTGAAGGTCTAGCATTCATGTCGAATGCAAAGTCAAGTGCAACAAAGGAGTGCGAAGATCTAGGGTCAATCAAAATTTTAGTTTCCATGCCACAAACAAAGAGCGTACCTCGGATTACAGAGGCATACACCTTGGCCTCTTGTTCGGTGAGAGCAAATACTCGACCTTGAGTCTTTGGTTGGTTTTCTGGTCCCTTCACCAGACAGTCTTTGATCAGGTGGCCAGGCTTGCCACATCTGAAACATGCTCCTGCTCTTCTTCGGCACTCAGCCGTGGAATGATTGTCATTTCCACAGTATGGGTACGTTGGGCGTTGGTTCTCCCTTATGTCGCCCGGAGAGGTCTTTTGAATCTTCTTGGTCCTTTGGTTATCTCTTCCCCTGAAACTTCTCCTTGGAGGTGGTCGAGTCTTTCTCCCAAGGTTCCCAAACTGGGCTGGTCCCATCTTCCAGTTTCCTCCGACCCGAGACTCTTCACAATCCCTCTCAATCTTCATAGGCAAGTCTACCAAAGGGGAGAAGGTCTTGAGGTTTGTCGATATCACCCTTCCCCTTATATCGGGCTTGAGGCCTCTCTCAAATTTATTTGCCTTTCGCGCCTCCGTATTGATGATGTGTGGTGCATATCTTGACAACTCAGCAAACTTGGCTGCATATTGCTCCATTGACGGGTTTCCTTATTGCAGCTCAATGAACTCCACTTCCTTTCTTTCCCGTACAGAGTCAGGGAAGTACTTCTCATTGAATGCTTCCAGAAAGTTTTCCCACTTCACTTTTTTCCTTGACCCTTCCCATGATTGCTTCACTGAGCCCCACCAGTGCTCAACAACTCCTTCTAACATGAAGGTTCTCAACCCAACCTTTTGCTCATCCATACAATGTAATACCTCAAATATCTGTTCTACTTGTCTTCTTAATCGTTATGCTTTCTCTACTCCCCCAAGCCCCAAGAAAGTCGGAGGAGCCCACCTCCTAAACTTCTCTATCAAACTACTGTCATTTAGGTCAGGGGGGGGGGGGGGGGGGTAGAGGGGGCTGGTATTGCCTCTTTCATCATCTGTGTCATGACCCCTAAGGTTCTGACAAATTTACCGAGAGTCTCGACGTTTTCATTACTGGAGCTTGCATTATTGGCTTGAGTCCTTGGTATCTTCAACCTAAGACACAAGCACTCAGTTACTAATCTACCCAAAACTATTCCAAAAAAACGTCTAAAAACTTCTTAAGGCAAGAATCCTATCTTGATTGCTCTGATATCATAATTGTCACGACTCTGCCTCCCTGACCTCTACCGTACCAACTAGAGGGCGACAGAGTGTGGGATCGCGACCAGAGGTCGCGAACGTCATTTAGGTGGGAGTGGCTCAACGTGTTTAGAAATGCGGAATCAAAGCAAACCACGAAAGAAAATAAAAACTCATTCATCAAGCCACATATCCCGCACAAATTAAAACTATTATATACATATGAAATCTCCAAAGTTTCTTTGCAATTCTGTCCAAGGCAGTACAGGCCTGAGAAATAACAAGACAGTATTACATCAAAACAACATTGTGGCACAACCCCCAACACCTACTATCAAAAAGTTCCTTGATCAGTTCGAGCGTCAGCTGTTGCCACCACTGTCTAGTTGCCCCCCTCAAGAATGGTCGATTATCACTCCACATAGATGAAAAAATAAAGAGAGTAACATTCAGCTATCAGAGTATCCATTATTCTTGAGATGACAGATACATCTATGCTTATTACAATTAAAGTCTGATGTTCACATGGAATGCCTAAGCTAGACAGGCATAATAAATCTATTTACTCTCCAAGTAGAAGCCACATCGATCAGGCTAAGTCACTTCTGTAACTTGGAACTTCGACCCTCATTCAAGAGAGAGGACAATGACAAATGGAGGTCCCATTTCGTAATGTCATCACTCATGCACACAATCCCTAACGCACTTTGGAGTTTTTGACAGGCTGAGGCTTTGCAAGACACGACCCTCTCCTTACGCCTTTAGGTGAGAGGGCATTACACTACCATTGGAGGCCCCAATGCGCAGTGCCCATAACAATTTGGGGGCGCGACCCACCATGTTATTCACAGTCACTCCTTGATTCCACTCTTATCATAGGAGTCGAGGTATAATATACTCAACTACCAATGGGGGACCCATTGCATAGTGATCATATCACAAATATTAATTTTTAGTATAGCAGAATCACAAATCCAACTACCAATAGAGGACCCATTCTGTAGCAGTCAGAGTTCTCATAACAGTCTCACGTATCACAATATCCACTGCCAATGGAGGTCCCATTGTATAGCAATCATGACACATATAACAGAATCACATGATGCACTACCAACGGATGACCCATTGCATAGCGGTCATGACACGTGTAACAGAATCACAGGCTCCACTACCAATAGAGGACCCATTGCGTAGCGGTCATGACACATATAACAGAATCACATATAACAAAATCACAGTATCCTATATTTTTCTGCAATTTCAAATAGTGATGTCCTGTCACAAACAGGGCAATAATACTCGATCCATTTGGAATTCAAAAATGGTTCCAAAACAAAAATTTTACTAGATACGCTTATCTTTCAAATAGGAGTGGTTTGAAAGCGTTTGGACCCCGTTTGGCCCTTCAAAAGCTCATTAGAAAGGAGGCATCCCATCTGAAACCTGATTTGCAGTTGGGACAGTGACATGTCCCACTAAGCACACTCATAATTTTCAATCTGTAAGGCATTTTGAAGTGTTTCCTAAACCAAAATTCGAGTAAAACATGTATCTTTCAAACAAGGGCAGTTTGAGAATATTTAGACTCCATTTGGGCATTCAAAAGTTCGTGACAACCAAGATAATGGTTTTGGATTTTTATGATATTTGTCCACAATGACATAACTTCGCAAATAATTGTATAACTCTCAATCTAATAGGAATTTTAAATATGTTCAACATATGATTTCAAGCGTACTCATAAATCTTTTCAATAGCAATAATTTAGAAGAAAACGAACTTCATTTGGTCAGTAAAAAATTCGTAACAACAGAGGTATTAGCTATGAAAGTTTACTAAATCTGTCAATAATAACCTACTTGCACATTTTGAAGCATAACTCTTCATGCATAAAAAATTTGAGTAAGATTCAAACATGAACATTTTATTAGACACATATATCTTTCTAATGGCAGTAATTTAATGTCATTTGGACCTCATTTGATAGGCCAAAAGTAGATTACAAGAACATAAAATGTTCTTGGAAATTACAGTGCAGTTGTAGCATTATCCAAAATGCAACCAATTAATCCCAAATGCTACATCTTAACATAAAACCTTTTTATTGACCATTAGATACATATAAACACTTAATCACAGTATTTCCATGGAAAGCAAGGAAGATTTGATATCCATTTTGGGCATACAAAGGCAAGCTAAAGTGCTGGAAATCATGGTATAATAGTGGACACTTACATCCACTATTCATACTCCTACTCATGCTCATTCTCTTACTTAATTCATGTTAAATCCATGCTTAAGGACCTATAAGATAGTTAACCCACTTACCTTGTGTGTGCAATGGTGTTCCTAGATTTCTTCTCACAACTCACTCCTCAAGCTCCTCAATTTGGGTTCCAACAAGGGTTAGAAAAGGGGGCTGCAAATGCTAAGTGCTTTGGCTTGTAAGAGTGGGACGATGGCTTGAGGGAAAGAGAGAGAGGCTTATGTACTCCGAAAGTGTGAGGTGGCAGCTTGGGGTTGCCATGTGGCAGTTTGGTGACATACTGTTTGACAGGTGGCAGCATGCAGTAGGCAAGTGGCATCCATGGGTCATGCATAGGCTTGGCGGTGTAGCGCACTTTCTCGTCTTCTTCTCTCTCACCGCCGTGCGCACTTTCTCTTTTTCTCTCTCTTCACCGCCATGCGCACTTTCTTTTCTTTTTCTCTCTTTACCGTCGTGCACACTCTCTTCTTCTTCCCTCTCACCGTCGTGTGCACTTTCTCTTCTTCTTCTCTCTCATAATTGTGCACACTTTCTCTTCTTCGTTTCTCTTCACTGCAGTGCGCACTCTTTTTTTCTTCTCTCTCACCGCCGTGCGCACTTTCTCTTGCTGGGAAAGTCTAGGTCGTTACAATATAT